CTGTTTCTTGGTTATTTGAAACTGCCTATTAAATTGGGGAAGAGAAGTTTGGCAACGTGGGGAAGGGTGAATGCAAAATGGAAGTAAAGATTTTTTTTTTTAAATCTTTCATTTCCGGGCTGGGGATGTGGCTCAAGCGGTAGCGCGCTCGCCTGGCATGCGTGCGGCCCGGGTTCGATCCTCAGCACCACATACCAACAAAGATGTTGTGTCCGCCAATAACTAATAAATAAATAAATATTTAAAAAAAAATTAAAAAAAAATAAATCTTTCATTTCCATCCAACTTTACTTCTTTTTTAAAAAAAATGTTTCATTTGCTTGTTATTTATTTATTTTTCTTTTTTTATTTGTTCTTTTTAGATACATATGACAGTAGAGTGTGTTTTGACATATGATACCTACATGGAGTATTACTTATTCTAATTAGGATCCAATTCTTGAGGTGTACATGATGTGGAGTTTCACTGGTCATATATTCATATACGAACATAGGAAAGTTAAATTTTGCTTCTTTTTCACCCCCCCCCCACTCCAGCCTTTAAAACACACACACACACACACACAATACTTGCAGTGGTACATGCCTGTAATTCCAGCGGCTTGGGAGGCTGAGACAGGAGGATTGCTAGTTCAAAGTCAACCTCAGCAAAAGCAAGGCCTGTCTCAAAATTAAAAAAAAAAAAATACATTGGGCTAGGAAAAAAATTAGGAGTATTTTGCTGAGGACACACAATTAGCAAGTTACTCAGCCAGGAAAATTCAGGTGCCCCTCTCCCTGTTTTCTTCTTTATTATACCACAGTTAATTTTTTTTTAAGAGAGAGAGAGAGAAGAGAGAGAGAGAGAATTTTTTTAATATTTATTTTTCAGTTTTCGATGGACACAACATCTTTATTTTATTTTCATGTGGTGCTGAGGATCGAACCCAGCACCCCGCKCATGCCAGGTGAGCGAGTTACCTCTTAAGCCACATCTCCAGCCCCACCACAGTTAATTTTGAAGACAATAAACTAATGAAGACACTTAATTTTAAAAGAGTAATAGGGCCATACTAACAGGATTGATTGTTTCTTCTAGTCCATTTGACTTTCATAAAATTTTCTAGTGTGACCTCMTTTTAAATCATTCTTTCTAGAATGAATCTATTCAAAGAAAACCAACTGTCAGTCTTTTGGTCCCATCTCTGATGTGATGCTGGCCCTATTAGGGAGCTCATCAGGAAGAGCCTTCCTGAGCGAAAGAGGGGAACTTAATAAAATGGAATCCAGCCTTATGTACCAGTGCGAAACAACCAAGAAAATGCTCCCAGCACCCAGATGCAGCGTGGTTGTGAGACCTGGCTGAGGACAACATTAGTGTGTGTCTGGGTGTCAAAATTTAGCACAGTCGCTACCTCAATGATGGAACAGGGCAAATGAAACCCCCACATGGTCCAGGCGCACGATGTAATTACCTTCTGTTGCTGATTTGGCATGTGTGTGTGTGTGTGTGTGTGTGTGTATGAACATATGGCCTGATCAGCAATCTGTAATTAGGCCTCAGGGAACAACCTACTCATTGTGGTTTGGGGCCATTAGCCACTTAAATAATGACATCTGTCATAATTTTCATACCTCATCTTGTCCTAGATCTTGTTTCCAAACTATAATAAAAAAGTCTAAGTTTCTTACGACAAAACCAATCCAATTTTTAACAGCTCTAGTCTCCATCATGATAGAGTGCTTTAGAGTTCAAGAATACCTAAAAATATTTATTGAGTGCTTCCCATGTGCCTGGCATCATAAAAAATAAGTTCTTTACAAATAGCATAAATCACTGAGCCCACCCAAGAACTCTGTGAAATAAATACTGTTATTCTTCCCACTAAACAGACACTGAAACCAAGGCACTGGGGAGTTCGATCACTCACTGCTAGAAGAGGACAGAACTGGAATCCGTGTTGGGGTCTCTTGGAYGTCTGTGCTTCTGTTGCTCTCATTCAACGAAGTGGCCGTGTGTCCCTTGGCTGGTAATGTACTCATAATATATGGTAATGGTGGAAGGAAGGTTGGACGATGTAGATTTGTATCAAGAGCCAAAATAAGACAAATAGGACATCTATCCAATGTAGTGATTTTCCACTTGGAGGAAATTTTTCTTATTTCAGGGAACATTTAGAAATGTGTGGGGTCATTTTGTTTTTTACATCAACCTGTTACATCCAGGGGCTTCTGGGATGCTCCATGTCCTGCTGTGTGCAAAATGGTGCTAGACAAGAAGGCCTTGTCTAGCCCCAAATGTCAGATAGCACTAGGAACCACTAGTGGAGTGGAACGTGAAGTTGGCATGCCGTATCTGTAGATTCTGCATTTGGGGATTCAGGCCAGCTACAAATAGAAAAATATTCAAAAAAGAAATAGTGTCTCTWTTGAACACACACACACTCTTTTTTCTTGTCATTAGTTCCTTAAAAATATAGTAAAACAACTGGTTACTTAGTATTGACATTGTATTAGGTATCATAAGAAATCTAGAGATGAGTTAAAGTATACAAAAAGATGGGTTGTGTGCAAATATTATGACATTTTATATAGGGAACTTAAACATCCTTAGATTTTGGCATTGGGGGGGTCTTAGAACCAATCCCCCCAAGGACACTGAGAGACAACTATAATTTAAAGTGATGTTATTATAAAACCCAGAAGTGGCAGGCTCAAATACCTTCAGGGATCAGTTAGGAATTGAGGAGAACCTGTTCCATTTTACAAAATCCAAACTCAAATCTTTAAAACACACTATGGAACAACAATCATCTCAGTGCCTTGTTTGGCCAGTGGGTCCCCAGTAAGAGGCCTTTTAGCTAAGGTTTTTTCTGATCTGGAAATACATTTGCAATATATTAAGTGGGGGAACACCTACCAATCTGTATGATCCTATGTTTTTAAAAGATTGTATATGTATTTGTACATATTTTCACCTACATATACGGGGTACATGTATGTGAAAATGTGTAGGAAAAAATTGGATGCATATGAAATAGGATGATTTCATAAAATGTCTGTGGTGATTTTATAAAATGTTTTGCTCATGAATATCTTTAATACTTAGGCTACAAATATATATAAGTTGTATAATTCTTCATAAATTAAGTAGGAGAAGAGCCTTAAGAAATTAAAATCATTGTGGGCTTGGGCCATAGCTTAGTTGGTAGAGTGCTTGCCTCGAATGTACAAGGCACTGAGTTCAATCCCTAGCACCAGCACCACCAAAAAAAAAAAAAAAAAAAAAAAAAAAAAAAAAAAAAAAAAAAAAAAAAAAAAAAAAAAAAAAAAAGAAAGAAAGAAAGAAAGAAATTAAAATCATCAAGTTCATTATGGTAGCATAGCCCTGGTGACACACTGGCTGCCCCCTTTGCTGGGCTCCTTACCATGACCAGAGTGTGCTGAGGTCAGGTGTCCTACAGGAAGAATGGAGAAGCCCTGATGATAACCAGGTGACCATGTGGTGCTTTCTGGCACTGCAGTGGTGGTGGGTGCTGGGACCCATATAGTAGGGTTCCATCATAAGGGTCCCATCATCCCCAGCCAGGAGCCTTCTCCCACTTAGGACATTCTCATTCCCCCACCCCCACCTCACATACTGAATTTATATAAAATGAAGAATTCATGTCTGCATCCTGACTCCACCTTTGTAAGTCAAACTAAATAGAATTCTTTGGGAGTGACATGTTAGTGGCTTTGCTCATTTAAATAAAAAGCAAATGGTAGACAGGGTCTTTTGTGAGAAGTGTCTATGATTGATTATGGAGGATGGTGAGCAAATAGGAGGATAAATAGGGCACGTGTTGCTCATCTTTTGACCTCCCTCCAAAGAAGGTCATCCCCAAGGATTAGGTGGTAGTTGTGTGAAAGGTGTCAGGGAGATGGTGTTATCTTCTCTGGAGACTTCCAGTGGCCAGAGCTCACAAGGCATGGAAAAGCAATGATGGCAAATCTTTCACACTCCCTGTCCCCACCATTATTTTTTTCTCTCTCTGGACTCCCAGGGCACGTTTTGATCCTCAGAAGCCTCAGTGTGAGGACTACAAATAAAAGCTCAGTCTTTTTTTATTGCCCTTTGCACTTGGAAACCCAGATTGAGAAAATAACCATTCATAGCAGCCAAAAGTTTTTTTAAGGTTTAGGGTCTGCAGCAAGGAGATTGGGTGGGCGCAGAGCCCCATCTCAGTGCTCAATAAATATCATTTCAAGGGCTTTAAACTGATTCTTTTCTTTGCTTCTAAAAAACTCCACATTCACCAGTGGATGGAATTCACATTCACAGTAAGTGGATGGAATTCATACACTGGTGTTTTAAAATAAATGCACTTGTGAGCATGTGACAGCTTCCATAATCCTAAAGCCCACACTGAAGCTGCGTGGTGTGTGAATGCATAAGCCTGATGGTGTACGAGCCTGGGTGTGTACACTTAAGATCTGGACTTCTTCAAAGATTCTATACTGGTGTTCTTTGCTCAGGAAGAACCCCATTTGCTTCTGGTTAAGGCTCTCTAGGAGCAGAGCACTCAGATTGGATGTAGGCTTTGGACCCAGAGTTCAAAGTCAGGCCTGATCACTTTCCAGGCCTCTGACCTTAAACACCACCCATCTCTCTGCATCTCCTTTGATTGCAATAAAATAATGGTAATTACGCTTCTCTCATAGCATTGCTATCCAAAATTGGGAAGGTGGAGGGTGTGCCGGGCAATGGCTGGCACTGAGGGTGAGTGGCTATTAGGTACTAACATTAATACACCTATTTTGCGCATTCAAAACCTGAAATCTGGGGAGAGGAAGGCAAATGGCCCCCAAGCAGCCAAGTTTGCCTGAGGGGAATTTGGCATAAAGCCCAAGAGTCCTGACCACTTCCTTGCCCCACCCCTGCAGGTMTCCAGGAACAGTTCCCCCGGGTCTATTCCTGCTTGCCCTGGGAAAAGTCTGAGCCCCATTCACACCAGCGGCAGCTCAGCCAGAAGCTCATCATGCTGACAGAGTGAGTGAGCCCAAGAAGAACCGGAGCAGGGCTTCCACCAGGCTCACTGGTGTAGTTGGCCACCCGGCGTGCACACCCTTCCTGGCTACCCTAGCCATGTTGTCCAGAGGCAAAAGGATCTGCCCTGAAGCCCCCAACAATGCCCGCTATCTGCTTCCATCTGGGGAAGGGCTACCTTTTGCAGCTGTTGACATCACTGCCATCTCTGACTTTCACCCTTCTCCTTTCCCAACAGAGAGATGAAGCTGTGGCATGGCTTAGTGATTGCAGTGTTGTCCCTCTTCCTCCAGATCTGTCTAATCATGGCCCTCAATTACCTGCTCAGCAGGAACATAGGTAACTGGCTTTGTCCCCCTGCCCCTCCCAGTCACCCTAGGAGACTAATCCTGTAGAGGATGAGACCCCTTGGGAGCTATCACTTGAAAACCTACTTGAGGACCCAATGACCAGATCCCTGGCACCGCTTACCCTTCACCACCCTGCATCYGGGCAATCCCCTCTCTGACCTCACCTTTTACCCAACCTATTTCTTACTGGGAATGACAGCCCAGGCTGCTCCCACACCCGGATCCTCTGTCTGGAGACCAGCTTCCATGTGCTTGGGGAAGAGGGCTCACTTACCTTAAGCCTAATGAGTTTTGTCATCATGCTGAAGGACTGGATGTGAAAAATGGCCTTAAATTGCAACAGAAGGAAAGATAATTAGACTGAGACATGAGTTGAAATTCTTAAAATGAYCTACAGAAGAATGTAGGTAGAGAATCTCTGTTATGAAAAAGCTTTACTATTAGGAAAAATAATGGTGCTTTGGCTAAGGTAGGCTATGAGGCAGAATGATATTCTGAGGATTTTTCCAGAAAAAGAAAGTCTAGGCTTCTCCACTGAATCATTCKTTTGTTTGCTCATTCATCCATGTGACAGATATTTATTGAGCATCTCAGGCGCTGTCTAAGCCCAAACTATATGAAACATAACAAATTACAAATTYCTATCCCCTGGAATTTGTGCTCCATGGGACAAAAACAAGATAAACAAATCACACACATGTATGTTAGGTAAAGATAAATCCTGGGGAGGAAGCAAGGCAAGAAGCCAGGAGCTGAGAAGGGACCAGTGTCCCTAAGGTGCTGACATCTGAGTATAAATTTGTAGGAAATGAGGAGTGAGCCACTCCTGCAAAGGCTGGGGCAGAAGCATGTCGGGCACACTCTGGCAAGAGCCAAGAGGCTGCAGGAGCAGGGATGGAGAGGAAGGGCAGTGAGTCCACAGAGGGTCTCAGAGGCTGGGACAGGGGCTTCTATTCGGAGTGAGGCTTGGAGCCACTGTGGGGTTTGAAGCACAGCAGAGCTGAGATTTGAAGGGATCCTGGAAGAGTCTCCCTTTGAGGGTTCAGAGGACTTAATTCAAGAGAAGACATCACTAATTCAGTTTTCTTTTGCTTTCAACCTGACCCTCTCCCCTCCAGCCCACCAGAGTGAACGGATACTGAAAGAAGCCAGACTTCAGGTCCGGGAGCCTAGTTCTGCTCCCCATCCCTTCCCTGTGGCCAAAGAGACTTGGAAAGAGCCTGCTCCCCAATACAGGCGTGAGTAGGAGACAAGGGAGAACTTGTCCTGAAGCTTACTGTGCTGTGTCTGGACATGCAGGAGCATCTCTGCAGCAACCCATGTTCATCCCTGCCACCCAAACTTCTAGCCTGAGGATCCCTCACACAGACTCAGAGCAGGCCTCACCAGCCTGCCTTTTTCAAATAGTTACCCATCCTATTTGAAAAGAGAGAAAGACCCCTGGGGGTTCGTGTGGGTCTCAGTCCAGTTTGTGTGAATGATGGATTACAGGGACCTGGGGGCTGGCTCCTCTCTTTCTAAGGCTATGGCCTCTTCTGCTGAGCCAGCTAATAGTGGAGCCAAGATTCTGACTGCCTCTGCCTGCCCCCAGCCATGGTGGTCACTGGGCATCATACCTCCTGGCCAGTCCATTGGCTGCTTCTAGAAGCTGGCTCCTTCATATTCCCCATGGGGACACTTCATCCTGRGCTGAGACTGCCTGGGTATCTGGGAATTTGAATGAATGCAAGTCTTGGTGACAATTCCTTCACTAGACCCAGGAGCACCACCCATCACCCTGTKGGTTTTGTGCTCAGGTCTTATTTTATTTCTTTCTATTTTTCCTTCTCCTCCTCCTTTCTTCCCCCTGTGCTGTGGCTGGAACCCAGGGCCTTGCATATTCACCTGCTGGGCTTGCACTCYACCACCAAGCTCCACCTAAGCCCCACCCTCTTTTTTTTTTTTTATCTCAAGGGCTGGGAGACCCAGTAGGTCACTATCCATCCACAAGGTGGAAACTGCCACTTCAGCAGCCCCGCTGGGGCCCACTCACCAGAGATTCCAGAGATTGCACTTTTTCCATGGGTTTATCTCTGGATTGGTTTGCGTTTTGCTCAGTCCTTCTGATCTTATCTTTTCAGRTGAGATCATGGGAACCAGAAGGTGCCACTCGGGCCTTCAGAGTTTTGGCAGAATAGAGGAAATGCTGGCCTCACCCTGACCTCTGGCCTCAGAGTGTCCTCCGAGCCTGGCCAGAATCGGACTGTTTGGCTAGCAGGGACCTCGGCAATCACTGTGTAGCCCTCTGGCTTTGCAGAGGACAAATGTCTGGGCACAAAAGAGATACAACCTGTCTAGAGCTGGTGATAGCTTTGGACTGGAACCTGTGGCTGGGACSGGGCCATGCTGCCTCGGTACAACCCTGCTGATTTCTTTTCTGGCAGACAGTCCTGCCTAGGCAAGCTTTATTAGTTTTAGATGAGCTGACGGAGCGGCAGTACCTGGACCCCTGGGCAGGAAGCTGCTGCCTACTATTGGCTTCTTACCCACCACCCACCCTGTCCCTGTTTCCCCTTCTTTCTCTTTTGGGGCTCGGCTTCTCCTGTCCCCTCTCCTCTTTGCATTGCTGGTTCTGCCTCTGCTGTTGTCTCAGTCTCCCTYCCATTGTCACTCCCCTCTCCTAACACTTCCCAACTTTCTTTGGAGGAGGAATCATTTCTATTTCTCCCCAGATGAGAGCAACACGTCCTCAGACAGCTCCATCAGCTCTGTCAGCTTGAACGACCCTGCCACTTTGCCTTCCACCTTCCAGGTAATGAGATTCCTAGTAATGTGCACTCCTCCATAGGTAACCTAGGGTCCCTGTAAAACTGGGAGCTCTGGACACCCCAGCTGTTGAGGCGGGAGCAAGAAAGGAGGGCTGARTGAGTCCTCAGAGCGTTCCTGGGTGAGGGTGGTCCGGCTTCTGCCCACAGCCCCATATTAGCATGGATCCACCAAATAAAGGGAGTGTGAGCAGACCATAAAAGTGGAAGTGCTAATAGGAAACCTCTCACTGGGACCCAAAGCTACTGAGCCTGACCTCACTTGAATCAAGTGTCTGYATTTCCCTGTCATCCATCACCTCCCACCTGCTCATCCTTTAGCCCATTCCCTGAAGACATACAGAACACAGTCACTGGAAACCCTCCTCGTGGCCCTTGCCCTGCTCTCAGATAGTTACCTGGATCCATCCGGGTCCTTTCCCACCAAGCTTTGAGCAGCTTCTTTGGGCTCAAGTTCCCTCTGAGGGTCTGACCTCCTCCAAACAGGGTAGAAACCTTGACCCGTGTGTTTCTGTTGTCTTCCTCAGGCCATCAAGGAGGTGAATTACACACCAGTGGTCTTTTCAGCCCCTGAATCTGTCCTGGACTATGAGAACATCAAGGAAGCTACAGATTATGTCAATGTCAATCCAGAAAAACCCAAGCCCAAAATCTGGACTTCTGTGAATGCTTCTTTCATGGATCCAGTGGAATACACTCAAGTGGCTGTGTGAATTCTAGGTTGTTTTTTTTTTTTTTTTAATAGGGTGAGATTCTCTATGTATTCTTGCATTCATTTTGTAGCAGAATTCCTTCCATTAAAAATAAGGCAGCTGGGCGTGGTGGCACACGCCTGTAATCCCARTGGTTTGGGATGCCTGAGGCGGGAGAATCACCAGGTCAAAGCCAGCCTCAGCAACTTAGCAAGGCCYTAATCAACTTGGTGAGACCCTGTCTCAAAATAAATAATTAAAAGGGCTGGGGAATGTGGCTCAGTGGTGAAGTACCCCTGGGTTCATTCCCCAATACACACACACACACACAAAGCAGAGTGGGGGTAAATAGGAAATAGGACTATGTCCTAGCAAGAAATACCCAAATCAGATATTAGGAAGATCTTCCAGGTAAAGTATGGAAACAGTGGAGTCCATCAGTAGCGAAAGCAGTGAGGTCTTTTTTTAATCAGCTGTAATGAAATTCTGCTTGGCAATTTTATGGTTAAATGACTTCCCTTTGAGCTCTTTAATTATTCACAATAAACAACTTCTTAAAAACTTTAAATAAAATTAWAACCAACAGTTCCTCTTTTCCTCTTGCCTAGCCCTGCATGTTGAACCTTTTAATATTAATATATTTTGCTGAGTAATCTTGCTTCCCCCTCAACATTTCATATAATTCATTTAGAAAGCCTACTGCCAATCAACCTGTGAATTTGCTGGGTTTTTTWAAATAATAATCAAAAGCTTACAAATAGAATCCTAGTCAATACCACTTAGATCATCATTGGATATCCCAAGGAAAATCTTCCAGAATTTAACCTAATCAAAGTCAATATCCATTTGGGTGTGTTTTTTTTTTTTAACCAATTAGAAATAAGAAGGTTCTTTCTTGACTTGATTAAGAATAGCTTATTTGAAACCATCAGATAACATGACATGTAACTATCAGGTCCTAGACATAGTCCCATTGAGTCCAGAACAAAGTAAGACTGTCCACAAACTTGCTATTTCTTTATTTAACATTGCTCTAGACATTCTAATCAGCAAAACAAAATAGTTAACAAGCTGGGCACAGTGGCCCACGCCTGCAGTCCCAGCTCTTCAGGGGGCTGAGGTAGGATCATTTCAGTCTATGAATTTGAGACCTCATCTCAAAACAGACAGACAGACAGACAGACAGACAGACAAGAGCTATTACTACTGGAATGGAGGATAAATGTGTCATTGTTTGTAGATATCCTAGTCCAAGAAAAGCACAGGAACTTCAATGCTTTAAAATTAATTATGTTCAGGGCTGGGGCTGGGGCTCAGTGGCAGAGCACTTGCCTAGCATGTGTGAGGCACTGGGTTTGAACCTCAGCACCRCATAMAAATAAATAAGTAAATAAATAAATGTATTGTGTGTATCTACAACCAAAAATGTATTTGAAAAAATTATGTTYAGTAATCAGTGACTAAATAATACACATTTTCCCCCAATAGCTMATTTAGACATAAAATGGGAAAAAATTGTTTACGCTGGGTTTGGTGGCACATGCCAATAATCCCAGCTACTCAGAAAGCTGAGGTAGAAGGATTACAAATTCAAGGCCATTCTGGCCAATTTAGTGGGAMCCTGTCTCAAAATAAAAAAATAAAAAGGGTGGGCATGTGGATCAGTGGTAGAATGCCCTGGTACTAYTAAGAGGGAAAAAAATTTACAATAGCTTAAAAAAAAATTGAAACCCTAGGAATACTCCCAGCCAAATCTGAATCCAGATCAGTGATGGGCAGTTCCTAGGAAGACCAATCTGTTAGCCATGCTCCATCTCTGCAGGATGTAAATGCCCTTCCTAGTTCAGACGCTGTGTGCAGCTGGCCCCCTTCACTTCCCGGTTCCTCTTCCCCAAGATGATCTGTAGGGATGATTCTGATTTGGGTTTCTGGGGCTGGAAAATTTTGCCAGTCTGTTCGCCCTTCATCTGTAGCTCTTACTGTTGTTTCTCTCCTTGAAAACTTTACCTCATGGAGAAAAAAAGATTCTGCTGATTAGAGAGACAGGATGAGGGATAATCATTAACCATGATAGCAACACTGCCCTTGCCTTAAGAAATGAAGCTTAGTCGGTGCAGGGCACATGCCTGTAATCACAGTGACTTTGAAAGCTGAGGCAGGAGGATCGCAAGTTTGAGACTAGTTTCAGAAACTTAGCGAGACCACCAACAATTTAGCAAGACCCTGTCTCAAAATAAAAAAGGCTGGGGATGTAGCTCAGTGGTAAAGCACCCCTGGGTCCAATCCCCAGTTCCCAAGTACCAAAAAAAAAAAAAAAGGAGAAGAAGAAGGAGGAGGAGGAGGAGGAGGAGGAGGAGGAGGAGGAAAGAAAGAAAGAAAAATAGAAATGACACTCTACTTCTTGCTGTTGTCTTTTAAAAGAAAAAAAAATCATCAAACTTGTGCTGAAGAGGCTCAGATAAGTTATAGGGCACCCAAGAGAGATTGACAGTTTTGTTTCCACACTAGGAGAGGGACACCTGGGCTAGCAGGCAGAATGCTTGCTTTCTACAGAATTCTGGAACAGAGGGTTAGGAGAAAATACAAATCAAAGACTTGAACTAGCTAGATTAAGTTACCAGAGAGCAGCTTGGGAGATTGATTCTGGTCGCCAAAATACCTATTATGCCTCTATTGAAAAGGCATTTGCTAAAGATGTTGCAAATCAATTAGCCACTGATGCTGTGCAGATTTTTGGAGGCTCTGGATTTAATACAGAATATCCTGTACAAAAAGTAATGAGGGATACCAATATCTATCAGATTTATTAAGGTACTGTACAAATTCAAAGGATTATTACAACTTGTGAACATGTTAGCAGGTATAAAAATGAAGAGTCTGCTATAGAAACGTGGTTAATCATTGAATAGTTAGAATATGACCCATTATTTATGCTTCAGAAAAGAGAAAGGGCTTTAAAATTTGTCCAGTGAAAATAAATATAAGTATTCTTATATAAATTTATATCATTGATTTTAATGTTAGTTTGCACTGTTGTTTAACAACTATATAATGTCCCTTTTTTCAAATAGATTTGATTTCATTAAAATTATGTGTTGTCAGCTGTCTGTGGTGGTGCACACCTATAATCCAAGCTACCTAGGAGGCTGAGGCAAGTAGATCACAAGTTTGAGGCTAGCCTGGGCAACAGTGATTTAAATTAAAATAATTTTTTTTAAAGGGTGGGGAATATAGGTTGACTTGCCCTGCCTAGCATGTGTGAGGCACTGGGTTCAGTCCCTAGTATTGTGGAGCAAATATGTTGTCCTTTTTTATTACTGTAYTTGAATTATATCAGCCTAGAAAATTACATTTGTCATTCTGATGTCTTAAAGAAGCAGATATACCTTGGAATTTTATTATTTTCAAGTGATATAAAATTGGGCCTATTATGAACTCAAATATACCAAAATTTACATAAAGAAAATATTGTAGGATCTGGATAACATCAGACAACTTGCCAGTGACTTTGTGGATTTAATGGTATTATTATAAGAGTTTACAATTTKAAATGCACGTGGCTTTCAGTTCTGCACAGTAATAGTCAAAATTTTGATACTCATACTTTTCCACTGTACAACTATGAGAAATTTCTTGAAAATCTTTTTATTTTAATGCTGACCTTACATTTCACTTGCCTTATTTAAATCAATAAAACTTGCTCTAGATTATTTTTATATGGCTCTGTTGGTCTCTAGGTAATCTTTGGCCTATTGTATACAATCTTATTCATGTGCATGCATTTTGAAAGGGGACGTAAATAAAATTATCTGTTCAGTGCTAAAAAACAAAACAACATGAAGATTTGATCATCTGAAACCATCAGGGAGGGGTTAAGGCATCTATGGCCTAGCTGGGGCAGGCAAGAAAGAGCCAGAGAATGTGTACAAAATAACATGTAACAAAGCAGAATTAAYACAGAGCAATAAAACCAGAGCCTGTCCGTGTTATACAGATCTGAGGAAAGGAATGACTGGGTGGACTTAATCAGAGAAACCACCCCGGAGAGAGGCGATTTCCGACCTCAGTTTAGAAAGAAGGGTAGAAAGTCAATCAAAAGGAAAAGAGGCAGAAGCAAGACCTGCCCCAGTGCAGGCTCTCTCTACAAGTTCTTGAGAGACTGACCTGAGCTGAACCTGATAGGGAAGTATCCTCCTGGGCTCAGAGTGTGCTGGGATGCTCAGGGGCAGGGAGTGGATGTCAGGGAGACCAGGCACCATAGGCTGTAGAATGGCACAGATCATCTAAGGTCCCTGATGAAGTCTGCTTCAAAGAATGACACTTTATAGCAAGTCTATCTTGGAGGATAACATCAAGGCCCATCCTGCTTGCATATCAGGTACAGGAAYTCTTGGAGAGTGTCATTTAAAAAATCAAGTTCAAAGTGTGACTCCACCAAATGAACTCCATGGGTTGATGGCATCTCAGATGCTCTGATAAAAGGAAGGCCAATTTTACCTCCCAAGGAGTTTTAGCAAATAAACTGATGATGGGGCTAGCCAATACTTTAAATTACCATAGTTCCCCCTTATCTTTAGGGGATACTTCCTGGTGGACACCTCAAACCTTGGATACTACCTGACCCTCTTTATACTATGGTTTTCCTGTACATAAATTAGGCATAAGAAGAAATCAACAACAACTACTAGTAAAATAGAACAATTATAACAGTAAGCTAATAAAAATTATGTGAAAGTGGTCTTTCATGCATATGATACTGTGACAATCTGATAATCAGAACAGCTACTAAGTGATTAACATATATGTAGCTCATATGGCATAGATCTGCAGGACAAAGATGATTTATATTGCAGGGAGAAGAGAACAAGATGGTGTGAGACTTGAATTATATCATGACACTACTTCATGACACTATTCTGAATGGCATGCAATTTAAAACTTATGAATTATTTCTTTTTGTAATTTTCCATTTAATATTTCCAGACCATAGTTAACCACAGGTTACTAAAAGGCTGAAATTA